CTTAAAGATATAAATGTCAAGTACCCAGCCTTTCACCGCGTCCCTTTGGGAGTATTTGCAAATTGAGTGTCACAGTGTTGTCTCAACGACATTTTATAACTGTCCAAGATCAGTACTGTTTATTATTTTATTATTATTTTTTTCTTTAAGGGAAATCAGAAGAGCTGAGGGGCTTGCTTCTGAATCCGCATCTCAGGCAGCTACTGCTGACAGTCGATCAAGCAGAAGATAAAAGCTCCCTCATGAAAAAGTACATGCAGGAGCCATTATTTGTCGAGTTTGCGGACTGCTGTTTGAGAATTGTTGAACCTCCAGAGAAGGAGAACATTCTTCCCGAATGAGCTACTTTGTGAGCATTTTTCTTTCCTTGAGACTTTTCCTCCTCTGACTGAAGAGATTGGGCAGCACCCCATGCTGCTGTCGAGCACCGTGCTGTGTGTTTCCTCGAGGTCGGGTCACACTTTGCTCATGGCTGTCAGTGCTCTGATTTTCAATACAGAGTTGATAAACAGTGGCACAGTAGTGTTGGACAGACTTCTAGATACTAGGAATGAAACCTGTTGTTCTGTGGATTTGCTTTGTGTTGGTACAGATATACTGTCAACCGTAGGAAATGTTGCTTCCCAATGATGCCGTCAAATATACGTGCATTTATTTTAAACCACAAACTAGTCTGAAATTGTTTTGTTAACTAGGCCTCGTTGCGGATGGTCAGACACTTTTAGAAGATATTTAATGGTTTATTTAGAAGTGGCATACATGGAAGAGCTAACATTTTCAAGATCCGTGTGGGAAACAAAGGGACGGTATCGAGCACCTCTCAGAACCTTGGCAGAAGTAACGCTGCTGACTAGGGAGCGCTAGACACGTGTGGCTGTTCATGTTTTTGGTCCTGTGGATAAAAAACAAGCCTAGTCGTGCTTTTCCCTGAGACATCTGCTGTTAGTGTTAGAGCTGACTGCTGCTCGCTTCCTCAGTCAGAGTCAGAAGTGGTGTGATGTTCCTGAACACTTGTGGGCAGTCAGAATAGTTGTACCTCCCCAACAGTGTTGGAAATGTTTGCCTTATTTGCTTTTTACCAGCCTCTCGCTTCTCTTGGGTAGTGCCAGAAGTATTCAGTTCAAGTATATATTGCTTAAAGCACCTGATCTGTTTTCATTATGTTGAGTGTTCTCGGAGTGCTGATATTTCCTCTGTTACTGGTGTGAAAGGAGGAATGCCCCGCCTCATGCGCTCTAATTGTGAAGTACATTATACATATGATGCATTGATACAGAAAGCTCTGAGGTAGCAGCAGATACGGACGTTGAGTAATTGGAAAGCAGCAGCTTGCAGACCTTCCCTGAAGGTACAATCTATGCAGGTGGCCAGAACCTACGTTGGAAGGAGTTTCTTTCTGTCCAATAAAATCTGGTTAAATCCAGTGATGGAACAGGCATCCGTGTGGGGGCTGACGTTTGCGTAATGCAGGGGAGACTTCTTACAGTGAAACTTGACAGAGCCCTACAAAAAGAAGGGGAGAGGTGTGTTGATGTTTTTGCCAGGTTTTGAGCTCATTTTACTGATCAGATAAGCAGTGCTTTAGTAGGTAAGCAACTAGTGAATATGAATAAGGATAGAAGATGTCTAAAGGAGTTACAAATGGATTTAAGATAAATGATTACTACAAAGTACTATATTTTGAACTGGAATTAGTTTAAAGATTTGAGTATTTAATCAGTGCTGAACGTGGTACTGCTTCGTCCTACTTGTAGGAACTGTGACCAGGCACAGGCTATATTCTTGCACTCATAATTTAATATAGCCACAAAAAATTTATCAATGAAAAAAACTAAGCACAGGAACAAAGTGATTTGTAACCAGAGTGTAATTTCTGAGAGAAGCCAGTGTGGGTTGTGTCTCATTTGTAGTAAATGGTACCTGAGACTACTCTGCGTGTGTGGAGGAGACAGAAATACTTGAGGGTTTCTCCTTGCTTTCCGCCCTGAAAATCCTCTATGTAAATTAGTTAATACAGAATTCCTGGGATATTATTAATACACCCAGTAGCTTTTCCCCAAGTGGATGTTTTTTTTCCTTGTCGCACAACTGGAAATGCCTGAAGCAGAAAAGATACACAGCGTGTAACAGCAGAGCCCATGTGGGAATCCTCTGCTCCCCACGTCTCAAGCAGCACTTCGATCTGTGTGTGCCTGTGACCGATTAACAAGAGTTTTCACGGTTAGCTGAAAGTCTCAGCTCAGCCCTGTGTCTAGCCTGACCTACTGGTGTCAGAGTCATTCCTGAATATCTAGGCCGGGTGTAGCTTGAGAGCAGACTTCACAGTCGCTCTGCTCAACAGTGGAGTTCAGGTGCCCAACTCTCACGTGGACTCGAGCGCATGAGGTTTGTTACCTGTGGGAGAGCTCTAATGGAAGTGATGCCACAGCCAAAGAAACAGTTTTCTGCTTTGTCGCTCTCCTGAAGGACTCTCCTGAAGCACGCCAGCAGGGACAGGTCCCGCCGAGGTCCCTTTACAGTAACGGGTGCAGCAGCCAGGACAAGGCCAAGAGGCCAGAACTGGGTTAGTGCGTGCAGAGGCCAAGTTGTTTCCAAAGAGCGAGGCGGTTTGGCGGAGATCACTGTAGCTCCAGGAGCCGAGAACGCCCTTTCTTCACCCTCATCCAGTTCTGCTGCCGCCAACGCGGCCATTTTTGCCTGATGGAGAGATACGGAACAGTGGTCTTAAACAAGATTCTCAAACATCTTGCACAAAACTTGAAACTGCGAAACTATAATAGAGGGTATCTTAAAGGACAGGATGCCTTTGGGGATATCTTCCCACTTTATGAAGGTAAGGAGCAAGTCCATTCTGCAGTCTCTGTGCTGCTTCCCAGTAGATGCCGCTGTACAGGACCAGCAACCATCTACTCTTCAGCTTGAGAAGAGTTTTCTGGAGAACTGAGGGTAGTATTGTTTTTGTACAGTTACTTGACAGAGGTAGATTCCTTCTCAAGCACTAGAAGGCCTCAGTCACTCCATTTCAGTGCTTTCCTGTACCAACATACTTACTTTCCATTTCCTCCAGCCGTGCTTAATAACATCAGCAGCCCTGCGCATCCTTTGGAAACGTGTCTTGGCTAACCAGGAACGAAAAGCTGAAGATTTAATTAAGAGAAATCTGAGTACAAAGAATCTCAGAAGCTCTTGCAGACAATGTAAGAGAGACAGCATTTAAGCTTTCTCTATGTTCAGTTAACGTAACCATCCCTGCCACCTGAAGCACTCAGTTCAACTGGAAATGTTCCTTGTTATACTCTGTTCAGCCACATCCTTACCAAATTATTACCTGCTTGGATGACAGTTGCAGACCATCCCTCCTTTGCTAGTTTCTTCTGTTTAAATCTCCTCCAGCAGCACTGAATGCAGAATGCTTTCTCATTTAACACCTTTGCTCTTCTGGCTTCAAGTTGCTCCAGCTGCATTGGGGATATGAGCTCGCAGTTAATACTCAGGGACGGAGTTGCGTTCACAACTCATCCCTCTTCTACAGCCTCTTGGTGTTTGGCAGAAAACCATGTGCACATTTCAGTGTCCTAGGACACTGGACTAAGTGTGAGAAGTGAGAGCACTTTGTGATAACATGTACGATAAATATAAGCATCTGATGGGGCAAAAAGAGTGTGTGCGGGGAGAAAGTGGATGCTCCGAAAGTCACAGTAGCAGCTGGCTTAAAAGTAGCTCCAGGCTGCCTCCTCCAGTATGGAAGCTTTGCAGAAGTGCCTTGTCTCCTTCATCTCTTTCGCAAAGAAGCTGCTCGGGCCTGTCAGAGTAGCCAAGTCTGTCAGCTGAAGCCAAGGAAAACTCACCTTTACTGCAACTGAGAGGATGCCAACAACACTTAGACAGAAGTGCAGCTCCTTAGCTGTTAACAAGGACAAAGCGCTTCTGATAGTTGGATTCTGATGGGTGTTTGATTTAGTTTAATAATTTGAAGCAAAATGCCAAATTCTGGTCACACTGGCGTCA